TGTTGTGGGTCTCTGATGTTGTTGGTTGTTGTGTGTTGTTGTGCAGAAGTGGCAGTGTGTCGAAGACACCACCGGGAAGCTGCGACTCTTCAAATGTAAGAATGAAGGGGGCGGAGCTAAGAGCTTCCAGAGGGGCGTGGTTGGCCGTCAGCGTCCAATCAGCATCAAGTCTCAGCTGTACCTGCCGGACTCGGACGGCTGCGACTGCGACCTGCGACCGCTGAACCTGCGACCGTCGGTGATGAGGCCGTTCAACAAGAAGCCGTTCTTCTCCAAGAAGAGTGAGTGTCGATGCAGCGGTCCAGCAGGGGGCGGCGCCGAGCCGGCCCCATGTTCACCTGAAGCTGTTCAAACGTGGATCCAAAGTAGAGCAAACGTTTGTGATGCTGAACTGAGTTTGTTCAAACGGCTCCACAGTGGAACCTGTGAACCTCATGTAGCATCTACTGGTGCAGGTTCAGGTTCCAGCAGCTCCTCCTTCAGCAGCCGACTGCAGTTAGACACCGTGAGGAGAAACTACAGCGTTCTAGTTAAAACGTGTCCATGAAGGGGATTTAAAGCTCAACTCTCGTCTGATCTGCTTCCTGAACAACCAACTTCTATTTCACAGATTTTCTATTTTGTTGAATCACAGAAAACATGAATAATTTATACGTTTAGCATCAAAAAGGCCAAAACCATAAATAGTGTCAACAAAGAACTTCTCCTCCACAACGGGTTGTTTTTCACTGATTATGTGTTTACAGACGTTTTGAAGAAACGTTTTATTGATCACAGACTTTTTTCTATTGTTAATATAAAATGTGCCTCTTGATTGTATGAGTAATATTTATATGTATGATATGATGATGAATACATGCTTCCTGGTTCTGACTGGAGCGGAGCAGCTGTTTGTTGGTGTCTCGCTGCCCCCTGCTGTCTGAGGGCGGAGCTGCAGCTGTTGGACGTGAACTGAGACGGCTTTATTATGATCAGCTGTTGTTTTTCTGTTTGTGTCAGAGTTCAAAGCCCTGAAAAGCTACTCGAGGAACCGTTACAGCCGCTCGCTGTCCAACAGTTACCCTGGCAACCACAGCCTGGGGGGCGGGCCAATCCCAGAGGAGGCTGAGGAGGAGTTCAGCGGGATGGAGGCGGTTCCTGATGTGGTTCCTCCAAACTCCATCAAAGTCACCCACAGGTTTGACCACTTCACTGCAGTTTAAAGGTCCGACTGATCGCTGGTCCTCTGGGTTCCTGCAGCTTCTCTGCACAGTTTGTTTCTTATTTGGAACCAGAACTAAGTTCTGCCAAATGTTGTGACTGATTTTTGACAATTTCACGATTTCTGATCTGAAAGTTTTTGAATTTTCATCCTCAAAAAAACCCCCAAAAAACCTATAAGTCCATTTTCAGGTTCAGAACCTCCAGAAATAAAAGTCCAACATGAAAAGTGGAGACTCAGACAGAACAGTTCCAACAGAACCACTGGACGGATCCAGCAGGACACAGTTTAGTTATTGAGCCCATAAAGTTCCTGTCAGTGTCTGTCTATGGATGGATCCATGGTTCTACCAGAACCCAGTCTCTGGTCACATCTCACCACCTGTTGAGGCTCTAACATCAGTAGAACCTGATGTGGTGAAGTTGGACCAGACAAGGTTCTGGTTTTACATGTTCAGACTAAATGTTGACGTGGATCATTGGTAGGAACCAGAACCTGGAGTTCAAGGGTTCTAGATGTTGGTTCTGGATGTGCGGAGCTACAGGTTTGTGGTTCTACGTTTGTGTCCAGTGTGTGTTAATGTGTGTCTTGCTTTTGTTCAGATTAAAACTTTAAATATCGTCAGAACGTGCAGAACCGTGGGCTGGTGGTGTCGGTCCCACCGGTTCCGTCTCTACATGTTCCTCTGTCACAACAGAACGAAGCTCCGTCACTCTGTTACAGTGAACCTAAACCAGAACCGAGTGTGTTCTCTGGTGATGGTAACGCCTGGTTCTGCTGCTTGTGGTTCTGCTGCAGATGTTCCATCCTGACCAACGCCACCGTCAAGTGTGACACCGGAGTCTACGAGTCCCTGCAGGCCTGGAAGGACCACAAGCTGCACATCGACCACGAGGTGAGCCGCTAACGGTCACAGGGAACTAGGACGCAACGTTTAGGCAATGTTTAGAGAAAGTTGGAGCATGTTGTCAGAAACACAGATGATGAGGACGAATGTTCTCAGTGAAGCATCTGGAGAACGTTTGGGCAGAACAGAGTCGTCAGCAAACGGCTTCGTTACGAACCTTTCAGAAGAACATGGTGGAAACTGAAAGGTGTGCTGGACACGTTTCTAGAACTTTGCAGAACTTTTCATAGAACAAAAAGCTATCTGCTGGGAGCGCTGCGTTTCTGAACAGCAGGGGGCGCCGTCAGTGTGTTACAGACCTATAGAGCTAAACCAGGCAGAGCCCCGGCGTCAGAGGCTCCACCTGCTGGAACAACCAGGCGCTGCAGCCGCTCCAAACAGGAGGTGAGTTTTATGATGTTCTCTGTTCCAGATCGAGACTCTGCAGACGAAGATCAAGAACCTGAGGGAGGTCAGAGGTCACCTGAAGAAGGCCCGCCCCCTGGAGTGCGACTGCAACAAATACCTGTAAGTCCAGAAGGTGAGGACGGCTCAGGTACCCGCCGCTGCTCAGCTGACGCCATGTTTGTGTTGCTCAGGTACAAATCGAAGCTGAAGAACAAGCTGAGGTTCAGAGGAGGAGGAGGAGGCCTTCATCCCTTCAGGTGAGGTTCCAACCAGCCAGCAGACAGCTGCTGACATCACTGTGACATCACCGTGACAGTTCACCTGTGTGTCCGCAGGAAGGGCGGAGCTCGAGACAAGAAGGCGTGGCTAATGAAGGAGCAGAAGAGGAGGAAGAAGATGAGGAAGATGATCAAGAGGATCAGGAACAACGACACGTGTTCGATGCCGGGACTCACCTGCTTCACGCACGACAACCAGCACTGGCACACGGCGCCGTACTGGACACGTATGTAGAACCACACACGGACAGGAAGTCCAGAGCAGACACGCTGAGTTCTGAAGGTTCTCCTGGTCGCAGTTTAGGAATTCCTTTTGTTTTCAGACCTGAAAAGTTTTTTCTATTTTCACACTTACAAAACTTGTAAATCCGTTTAAATGGTTCAGAATCTCCAGAAATGACTGAACAGGTCCATCAGAACCACTGGACGGATCCAGCAGGTCCACAGATCCACAGTTCAGTTACTGAACCTTGAAAATGGAACAAAGATCAAAACTTCCCAGAAAGTTCCTGAAAGTGTAAAAATATCAGCGGCTGTAGCTGAGTGAGGGTTACCATGGTTACCAACAGCACTACACACACAGGAAGTTGTGTTCATTCATCTGTTGTCTGGTTGTAACTCGTAACAGTGAAAGTCACACCAAAGGTCGAAGTTCTTTAAATCAGAAACTCTGATCTGCTGTTTGTGTTTGTTGTCGTTAACGGGCTGTTTGATTGGACGTTGTGTGTGTGTGTGTGTGTGTGTGTGTGTGTTGTGTTGCAGTGGGTCCATTCTGTGCCTGCACCAGCGCCAACAACAACACCTACTGGTGTCTCAGGACCATCAACGAGACGCACAACTTCCTGTTCTGTGAATTCGCCACCGGGTTCCTCGAGTACTTTGACCTGAACACAGACCCATACCAGGTACACACACACACACACACACACAGACACACTCACACACACACACACACACACACACACACACACACAGCTCGGTGCTGACCCTCTTCCCTCTCCGTGTTCAGCTCATCAACGCTGTCAGCTCTTTGGACCGGACGGTTCTGAACCAGCTCCACGTCCAGCTGATGGAGCTCCGAGGCTGCAGAGGACACAAGCAGTGCAACCCTCGCACGCGCTCAGTGGAGCTCGGTACGACACACGCCTTCACCTGTGGAGGCGACACAACATGTGACACATAAACACGTACAGGAGCACATCCATGTCCAGTGTTTCATTCGGGTCGGTGCGGCTCAAAGTGAGGTTCAGCTGATCTCTGGTTGACGATGCGTTCAGGTGACTCTGAACGCATCAGGTGACCAAAGCAGTGACATCACATGTGGCCTTTGCTCACTAACCAATCAGGTTGTGTCTCCAGCAGGTGGGCGGGCTCACGGCAGCTTCGACGACTACAGGTACGAACCCAGAACATTTACTGTCTCCTGCTCTGATGCTGCATGATGGCGCTGAGGCTGCTGGGGGCGGAGCTTAAACTCTGTGTGTGTGTGTGTGTGTGTGTGTGTGTGTGTTGCATCAGGCTGTTTGAGAGGAGGAAGTGGCCGCGAGTCAAGAAACCTTCATCGTCTCGAACCCTGTGAGTCCTCCTCCTCCTCTTCCTCCTGCTGCTCGCTGCCTGAACACCTGAACGCCTCACCTGTCTAACACCTGTTACCTGTCTAACACCTGTTACCTGTCTAACACCTGTCACCTGTCTAACACCTGTTACCTGTCTAACACCTGTTGCCTGTCTGTCTAACACCCACTCTGTGTTTCTCAGATGAGTCCGTCGCTGCCTTTGTGTGTTTTTGTGTTTCTAACTGTTGCTGTTTATTTCTGTTGCATGAGCCTTGCGTGTTAACACTGACCACAGACACACACCTGTGGCGTCACGGTTCTCACCTGTGTGTGTCTGTTTGTGTTCTGTTCCTCCAGTGGTCCGATCTGGGACGGCTGGAAGGGCTAAGCCTCCTGATTGGTTGAAGCAGGCTCCTGGCCCCGCCCACAGCAGCCTGAAGGAGGGGGAGGGGGTGGTCGTCGAGGCGACGGTGCCGACCGACCGCCACGCCCCCGCCTTGCCGGTCAGCCAATCAGCTTCTGCAACCTCTGTGACATCACCAGGCCCCTCCCACCCTGCTGCTCAGGGAGAAGCTGGGATCAAACCCCCCCCACAGGCTCCTCCCACCGCCTGGGAGGGGCGGAGCTCTGGGGGTGGAGCCACACGGGGAGGGGGAGGAGTCAGGGAGGTGAACAGGAAACATTCATCCTTCCAGGTGAAACCACCTGAAGGCAGCTGAGCAACAGTCAGATCGTTTTTTCTTCAGTCGTGATCTTCAGTTTGATGTTTCTACACTCAGCTGATCTTTAGCTTCGTGTTTATTTTATAGAAAATCCTCCAAACAAACCGAGTTCCTCAACTAGAACGACAACCTGGTGTCAGTTACAGGAAAGTTTTTCCCGTCATTAAGACTCATTTAGAAACCGGATCAATTGATGTCGTTTCATAAGAACTTTAAAAGAATCTTTTTGACTCGTTCTCGTTTTATTTTTAGTAAAAACAGAACAAATCAGTATCTAGTGATGACGAAGCAAAGACATATTCTAAAGGCCAACGGAGACTGTTCGGCTGTCACCAAGACTTTCTCGTTGTTACCAGATTCTTTCTCAGTAATATGATTTTATTTCTGGTATTTCTTGTAAAAGCAGATTCATAATAACGATCAAACAGATCCTGTTGGTTTTCTCTCCTACATTCTGATCATGACGACATTTTGCAGTAAAATCTGAGCTCAGTCGTCTCAGGAAGGTTAAATGAGACGCTGCTCCTCCTCCTCCTCCTCCTCCTCCTCAGGTGAGCTCCCAGCGGCCATCTTTGTTTTATGTCTTCACCTGTATCCTTCTAACAGACATTAAAGTTCGTGTTGTTACTAAACTCAGACTGAGACGTCCGACGCTCTGACATCACTGCTGATGTAACCGTGATGTCACGGCTTCCCCCTCCACGAACTGGAGTGTCGGTTGCCGTAGCGACGGAGCTACAGTCGTACTAACCTGCAGACTGACTACAGTTCCCACGATGCAGCGCGGCCAAGAGGAAGATGAAAGAGAGAACAAACTGGAAACAGAGAAACTCTCCCAACGTCTCGTGAGCCAATAAAAACAGGACTAGATGATGACGTCATCAGAAGGTCACGGCGATGTTTTTACTTTTGATCTCGCCACCGTCCAATCACCTTCTAACGTCCAGCGGTTGTATCCTCTCAGCTTTTCAGTTTCAATCAAATCAAACCACAGAAGGTGTAAAATGTAAATTATAACGTTAGAAGGCGGCTGACTCACACAGGAAGTGACATCATCATCATCATCAGTGTCGGTCAGTGGTCTCTCCTACAGCGGCCCCTGCTGGTCGCGTCCCACATCTCCCAGAATGCCTTTCAGCCGCCGACAGCTGCTCACTGAGTGTTTGGTTCAGTTGGGTTAACCTTTGTGTCCTTCATTTATCACAGTTATTCCTAATAATCAATAATCACCGATCGGCTGTGACCTGGAGCCACAGATTGATCAGTGAACACAACAGGAAGTGACGCGGCTTCGGACGAGTTTTAGCTCGAAAGTCACAGAGTTCAGTCAGAACACGACCAAAACAGACGAA